AGAAAAGTATTCAAGTCAACCAACTCATGATTCGAATCCCGAGGGGATCATCCTCAAAACACCGTTGTACAATGTTGCAGAAGGAGGCGCTTGACGATCCCAAGCTGTGTTTTTTAGTCCCGCTTGGGTAGTGCTGCATTCTGCACATCACTGCACGCCTTTCTCAAGACGCATCGAGCATGTCCTGAAATCTGAACAAAAGTGTAGACCTCGTGCAGAGTGGATCGTTTCATCTGCAGTGCACCGCTACACACCAACGGTCAGTGCAGCTGCTTTTGGAAGCTGCTTCCCACCATGTAGAGTCTACCGCCCGTGCATGCAGCAGCCTGGTGTTTCTTTCAAACCCAGGTCGAACTTTTTTGGGGGAGGGGGAGGAGCGTGGGGAGGGGGGAGAGCGGCGTGCCCCCCTCCCCCCTCCCCCCACCCCACCTAAACCCGCCACTACACCTCATATTTGGCAGCCAGAGTATTGACCAAATAGTACTTTAGAAGACAGCGCTAGAGGTGTCAACAAAATAGTGACACAATGAATATTACTAGTATCAAACAAAAATGGGGACCACAGGACTACAATTTCAAAACAGTGAGAACTTTCGCACATGCTTCTATCGCACACACAGTTCAGGCTTCAGCTTTACAATGCACACTGCCTCCAGAACAGCAGGGTGAGATTTGTTGAGCACACACATGCTTGAGTGGTAAAGTGACAAGGAGTGCCATGTTTGCAATGAGTGCCATGTGTATATTTGAACTGGGTGTGCACAAGAAGTATGTGCAAAAGTTGTCACTGTTTTCCCATTGTAGTACTCTGGTTCCTATTGTTGTTTGATACTAGTAAAATTTATTATTTTCTCTACGTGGTTTGGTGCTACTAGCGCTATCTCTTAAAGTGTTATTTGGTCAATGCTCTGACCGGTCAACATGTAGGTGGGTCACAATTGCTATCTTTTAAAGTGCTATTTTGTTAATGTTCTGACCGGCAAAGTGCTATCTATAAGGACATGCTTGCTACCTTGTTTATCATCATTGTATTCGACTTGAAAAGTAATGTTACGAAAGGCCTAGTCGAAAGACTCGAAACTGTATGGCTTCTGGGATTTGTGTACTGAATTTCTTTTCTCCAACCAAGAATCTATACACACACAAAAGGCACATAAACTCACCCGCATAAACACACAAACGTACACAAACACACACACACACAAACACACATGCACACACACACACACACACACCTTGAACCTTGAACCTTGAACGCCCATTGCCGTAGCAATGATAGCGATGGCTTCCTCACGCTGAGGCTCTAAACTCGAAATCTGCAGTATGGCGCATGCCGCTTGAGGTCCCCAGGACGACGGAACACTCTGTCACAGCGGTAGTTGGGGCACGGGATGTCTGGGGCTTCCTTCTCGACCCTCTGTCGACAACACTGAAACCAGGTGGATCTCTCCTGCGCTGTGTCATACTAGTCCGCTTCATGTAAACCGATGACAGCAAAGTCCGAGGACACAACATCCCGCCAGCGCTTCTTGGGACCATGTTGCGGGCGTTTGCAGGGCAGTTCGCCGAACAGCATCTGCTTGGGCAGCCGGGTCTCCTTCATCCGTGCAACATGACCAAGCCACCGCAAGCGGTGCTTCCTGATCACATCGGCCATGTCGACGTCCACCCCTGCCAGCTCACTCAGCGATGCTGACGACAATCTCTCCTCCCATTGCTCACGACGAGAGATACCGAGAATTGTGCGAATACACTGATGCGAATGCAATGATGGTGAAAGGTGTTGAGTCGGCGAATATGACCCGCTTTGATGGGCCATGTCTCCGCGCACACACACACCTTGGTCCTTGGTCCTTGGTAACACTGCCATCAAATGGTCACGTGTCCCCTGTGCAGGGGTCGACAGCACTGAGTTCAGCATTGGACCCAGAAACGCCGCTCTACTTCCTGGACAGGAAATTAGCACAGCTATGCAGGTCGAAACCACGGGATGACTTGCAGCAGCGACCGCAGCCGAGACAATGCGCTCTGCAGCAGGGCAGGGCAACCCGCTGTTTCCGGACCGAGTCTGCCGATGCCACAGCCGAGACCGACGCCACTTCAGCAGCCGAGTTGGAGAGACACTTATGCGAAGCTAGCCCGCCAGCACTCAAGAACCATCTCCCGCACGCATTACATAGTCGGCTGCCGGACTGCTCAGATATGGGCTTCCTCCTCTCGGCCAGGCACTTGTGGCGATTCTTGTATTTCTGGTGGGCGAAAGTACGCTGGCAAACATCGCAGAGCACAGAAGTGTCACGCTGAGCCGATCGCGGTACTGGTTGAGCGGAATACGCACTGCGCCATTTCCCACGCTCCTGGGCGAGGTCGTACCATTCCGTGTGGTCGATGTTCACTGCGGAGAGGTCAGCTCTGACAGAGTCTCGCCACCGTTTCCGAGGACCGCAAGCCGGCCTCGGCGGAAGGAGCGCACCAAACAGGAGCTGGCGCGGAGTTCTATCGCCGTCCATCCTAGCTAGATGGCCTAGCCACTCCAGACGGCGGCGAAGAACACGTGTGGTAATATCCACTGGATCTCGACGATTCCAGGCCTCCAGAATGGTCTTCCTATTGATGTGGAAGTCCCAGGTGTCTCTTC